AACCTGGGAGGAAATAGCTGTCAGATTCAGGTGTCAGAGGTGACTTCAAGTCAAGGAAAATCTAAGTGTTCGGTGTGCCAGGCATACGTGCTCCTTTTCCAATTGCCCTTTCACCTCATTTCCTAATTCTCCTGTACAGTCATCCCTCAGTATCCTGGGGGATTGGTTCTAGGACACGCGTCCTCCGCCCCATACCAGAATCCACGGATGCTCAAGCCCCTTATATAAAATGGTGTAGTTGTTTGCATATATCCTATGCTCATCCTTCTCTATACTTTAAATCCTCTCTAGATTACATATAATACCTGATATAATGGAAACGCTTTGTAAATAGTTGGCAGCACGTGGCATATTCAAGTCTTGCTTTTTGGAACTTTCTGGAATTTTTTAAAAACATTTTTGATCTGTGGCTATGCTACCCTTGAGGATACAGAGGACTGACTGGTTAGTGAACAGTATGGCTTGACCATGGCAGGCAGGGCCTTTGAGCTTTGCTTTTCTCATAAACAAACTTAGCTCCTCATGCAGTGCCACTGTCATTTGTGACTGTGTCCTCCGGATTCACTCAACTGCAAAGAGCCCAGTCAACAAGTGTCCCCAAGGTCGCACACCTGGAACAGTGCCCATCGTACAGTGGTTTCGTTAGGCTTGGTGCCTGCGCGGAGGTCTGTTCTGTTGGAGATGAGAGCACAGAATCCCTCCCAGGATGGAGGTGTCGGTGTGCCCGTATCAACCCGAGGAGAATCTGTAATCTCTTTTGCATGTCAGGTTACTGTGTTCATGAGAAAAACAAAATCCTATCCTCCTCTTGCTTTGTTTGCATTTTCAAGATAGGGATGTTTTGACAGCATGATGGCTCAGCTCTCTTAGCACCTGGGATAGGGCCTTTTAAAAATTAGATATTAAACTCCTTATTTGCTTGTTATCAGCTCCCCCAAAATTAGCTCCGTATTTTGGACCTTGTTCTCCAGTTAGTTCAGCAACATGTTTCACTTACTATCTTTACTACACAGTTTTACCGTTTACCATTTAACAGGTTTGAAGAAGTGATACCACCCAGAAAAGTCAGGTGACAGTCACTTGCTTGAATCTCAGTCACAACAGGGTCACTTACTTGAATCTCATAGTCACACGGTTACATTAATGAATGCAATTATATCCTCCCACAAGCCAAATCTGCTCTGTAAATAAAGTTTTATTGAAATACTCGCATAACCCTTCACCAACATCCTGTCTGGGGTTGCTTTGGCACCATAATGGCGGAGTTCAGTCACTGCAACAGAGATCACATAGCCCACAAAGCCTAAAATATTTACTGTCTGATTCTTTGCCAAAAAAATGTGCTGACCTTCAATTTCAATATGTCCAAAGCTGGACCCAAATTCTCACCTATGTTTTTCCCTCCATCCCTCCTTCCTAAGCCCCGTGCTCATACTACAGTCTGCCTAGTTGCCAAACCACTAGCATGAGCGTCAACCTTCCCCCTTCTTTATTCCATTAGTTATGGATTTCGCTGCCAAATGACTCTTTTTTTTTTTTTTTTTTTTTTGTGTGCCCAGGCCTCTCACTGTTGTGCCCTCTCCTGTTGCGGAGCACAGGCTCCGGACACACAGGCTCAGCGGCCATGGCTCACGGGCCCAGCCGCTCCACGGCATGTGGGATATTCCCGGACCGGGGCACGAACCCGTGTCCCCTGCATCGGCAGGCGGACCCTCAACCACTGCGCCATCAGGGAAGCCCTCAAATGACTCTTTGAACCTGTAACTCTTCCTTATCCCCGCTGCCTGCATCTGGGCCACCAGCATATGCATCACCTGGATGACTGAGTTATCCTCCCGACTGGTCTCCCTTTCTCAGTCTTCATTTGTCTCCAGGACCCTTGCTACACAGGAGCTAGAGTCCTCCATCTAAAAATGTAAATTTGATGACATCAGCCCCTTGTTGAATTCTTTGCCTGCCACTCCAGCCTTATCTGTGTACTCTATCTCTATAGAGTCAGGTCACATTGATGGTTTTTCAGTTCTGCAACATGCTCTCTCTTTCTGCACCTTCACACATGCTAATGTGACTACTTGGAGCACATTTGTATACCCTTTTTATTGGCATGTTTGTCTTCCATCGTGAGGAACCTTCTGTGACCCTGCAAATCTGAGCTACATGCACTTCCTCTGTGGTCACCTAGCATTCTGCTTTTCCCGTTTCATAACCTTTTCCAAGTTGTTTTGTGATCTCTCATTTTTATTCATGAATCAGTGCCTTCCTCTGAATGTTAAACTCCAAGAACAGGAACCATATCTGTTTGGTATACATCATTATACTTCAGGCTCCTAGTATGGTGCCTGGAATAGTGTGAACGTTCAGTCAGTGTTTGTTAAATGAAATGAATGCTCTTCTGAGTGTTTTCACATCCATTATCTCAGTGGGGGTAAAGTTGAACAATTTAGAGAGGATTTTAATGAAACATGAGATGCTAGTGGATAAGAAGATTAAATTATTTGTTGTTTCGTACTTGTAGGAGGAAGGAGAACTAAGAGACGGGAAAACTGGTTAGGAGAGTAGAAGCATTTAATTCTACCTCGTAAAACAAAGAGGAGGAGTTTTGGAAAAAAACTAGCTTGCATTATTCAAATTTCATATTCCTTCTAATAAGTTTTCAGATTGTCCATCTTTTAGGGCTTCTTTTCTTCACCTGGAAAAACTTTACATAGCATGATTTAAAAGTCTTGTAGACTTTGATCACTGAATTTGTTTTCTTTGGGGGGAGGTTTACAGAAGTAAGTAATCGATTTCATTATAGCTTTTCTATTTCCAAACAAATTGAGAAGGAATGTATTTTTAAAGATTTAATTGAGTTTTTAAAAAAGGGATAAAGAAGTAAACACCAAGAAATAAAGGAATAGGCAATCAACTGGAGGAAATCTAGGCTTAGAAAACTTAGGTAAGATAAAGAAGTAAACACCAAGAAATAAAGGAATAGGCAATCAACTGGAGGAAATCTAGGCTTAGAAAACTTAGGTAAGATAAACGACTTTGAGGACAAAATTATCTCTAAACTATCTGGAAGTTGAGGTGATAAGTTAATGCAATAAGACACATTGCTTGGTGTCTTTAGCTTCTTCTCAGATATGAACTTCCAAAGCTGGAGAGCTCAGCACCATTCAAGATAGACTTTACAGACAAGTACTTTAAGTCCAGCTCCGTTTTGAAACTGTTAAAAGAGATTGGTGTGTGTTCTGTATAGGGTGGTGGCTATAAAGATTCTGTATGGAGATGTAGATCACAGAATATTTAAAGAAAAAAGAGGTCAAGACTTTTTCTTTAAAACACAACTTTGAATCTAATGAACTCCAAAAAATATAAATTCATTTGAACTTCCTGATTCTCTGTAAAACATGGAAGAGAGATGCTTGGTTTGGAACATCTTGAGAAGATGCCACAAACATCTACCTCTGCAAGAATCTAATATAGATTTAGAGAATGCTTATCGTTCACCAGGCGGCACTGTATTCTAACAGTTCTATGAGATGAGTTAGCTCAGAGTTTATGTTAATCATCCCGATTAACACAAATTGAGCATTGAGTGGAGTTGTTTTGAATTTTCTGGCCGTAATTAAGCAAGAGCCTTGTAAGTCATCATGGTGGTTTCTAGGTTCAAGGATCACATATCCAGTTTATATGAGGAAGTTTGCCATCTTGTTTGCTATGCCAGAGGACATGCAAAAGCTACATCTAAAAGTGATAGGAATCAGTTAGGTTTTCAGGTTAAACAAGAGACATAGGGCTGTTTCATGTGATTTAAAAACAGAATTTACTCTGTCAGAGTCCATTCCTATTTACCCTGACTCATAAGGCTTTGGAGAAGCACTTCAACTTGGAGGTAATACTGAGATCACACAGTTTGACACATGGAAGGCCTTGTTGGTAGAGTCAAGGCTGATAGTACATTAATAAAGGCTACCACGTCTTTAGCTGTTCTCCACAGTTCTGTGTTTGGTGAAATGTCACATCAGCGTCTTCGTGAGAATAATCATTCCTCTTATTAGACTGAAGGATTCCAACCCGTATCTAGTAGAGTGATCTGGCAAAGAGGTTGGGGGAGAGCCAGCACACCGGCACATCTGGAGTTGGGGCAGGTAGAGACTGTCTGATGGGTGAACTGGTTGGACTATGAAAAGAACATACCTGGGGCTAAGAGTAGAGGGTTTTTTGTTTATTCTGGAGACAGGATAAGAGTCTCTTCCTGACTCCACAACCACTGCCCAGCTCTTCCTCTGAGCTGGTTGGGGGTTGTTTTTAATTTTGTGGTTTCTCTACGATTATTTCTGTGGTTTTTCTGAGTTTCCCAGATGAGTTCTTTTAACGTGCTGCCTGGTTTGGGATATTTGGTTCAAAGAGATGAAGACACAGGAAGAGCCTGTGATGAATGCCTTACAGAGTATAGCATTGCTCGTACATGAGCTCTCCTCATCTTGCCGCTCCCTTGTTCTCACATAAAATGAGGGAGAAAATGGAGAATTTTAAATTTTCAAAGAAAAATCCATCTGATTCCATTTTCCCTGGCCCAGGGGTTTTTCTTTTCATTTTGTTCCATGAACCAGAAACCTTTCTGTAGGCAGGAGCATGGCTGGTAAGGCAATTGTGTGGACCTCTCAGTATGGCCAGGAGCTATTTGTGGGATGAGAGAGAAGCAAGTGGACCTGGAGATGGGGGTACGTTGTCTCACCACAGAGAACCACAAAGAAAATCTCCCCCACTTGGTACAACCTGTTGTCTCCCACCTTCCATTAATTTTTAATTATTTCTAATCACACGTTCTTTCCAAACAAGTCTAGCATCAACTATCTCTTAAATTATTTACTGATGTCTGTAAAAGATAATGTAGAATTTGAGCAGAATGAAATGTGCTTTACTTTTCCAACTTCCCTATGGATTAAAACAAGGATAATCTTGGCACCGTGGTGATAGAACAAGAGATGAAAGTCCTTGCTGTATTTCCACAGAGTACAGTACAATCCACAGCCCGTCAACACCCATTAAAGATTCAGATTCTGATCGATTGCGTCGAGGTTCAGATGGGAAGTCACGTGGACGGGGCCGAAGAAACAATAATCCTTCTCCTCCGCCAGATTCTGATCTTGAGGTATGTCATTGGCAAGGCCCAAGTAAATAGCAAGGTGTTTTAGTAGCTAACTGGTGATTCTGTATACCTGCTGTGAGCAAGGTGTCCAGATGCCTTTGTTACTGCATTCTGTTCCATATTAACTATAAGTAAGCCAGTTTTTTTTCCCATATTGAAGATAGAGCAGTTATTTATTTCTGTTTTCTCTTCCACTTTAACTATGTAGTAAAGCATTTTTTTTCTCTTTAGTGAAACATCATAAATTATATAATCCTGCTTTGACAAAATTCTCTTGTACTGCTGTCATTGCCATTTAAATTAAGTGTTGTACGAAAAATGCTTAATAAAATCCACTCGGAAATTAAAGACACGCTATGTATATTGAGAAAGGAAACCCCAGGATATTCTAAACAGAAGTGGTTATCACCTTACGAGACATATTTTGGTGGAGTTCAAAGCAGGAGGGGTTAAGTAAAACTTTAAAGGGTGATAGATTTCATAGCCTTGACTCCACTGGAATTAAGTTTCTTTTTATTGCCCAAGTGAAACTGATGGTAGAAAACATGATTCTTTTGGCTGAAAAGATGGAAAATTTCCAGCAGAACTTGTGTGTATGAATATGTACTGGTGTAAGTGGGATTGGTAAGAAGAAGTAAAGCAGGCTTGGGAGGCCTTTTGTGGTATCTCAAAGACCTTTTTGAAATGAGTTCCTTCAATAATTCGATTCCAAATACCCCAAGAGTGTGTCAGGAGCATGTGTGTTGCGTCTGCTTAAGTTGTTAACTCTGAAATGTGAAGAAAATTGGGCAGGAACAATATATCATCCATTTGATAACATCGTAGCAGATAACCTAAGGTGAATAGATGATGTAGTTTCAGTTCTTATGTGCAATTTTTAAATACTTGGCTTGATAAGAATAAAACACAAGATTAGTTATTTTAACACTTCTTAATGAACAGAGAGCAGAGATAAGGAAAAGATCAATTGAGTGATTTTTCATTGATTGCCGCTCTCTGTCTTAGAAGTTATAAACAAACTCATTTTAGCTTATGTTTCATTTCTTTAGACCTATGACTAAGAAAACTACAGAAGTAGGAAGGACCGATAGTCTTTTTTCCTGTACTTATGTCAGTATTGCTAGTGTATTTATCCTCTTGCACCTCATTTGAGGTTATATCTGAGGAAAGCCAGGAGATACCCTTTGGAACAGCTGTGTTTAAAAAAAATAGTAAATTCACATTTTTCATTTGTCTCCCATCTAAAGACTATCTTTTCATGTTGAAGTTAGCTGAATAGCAGGTTTCTCAACCAAGAGAAAGACACAGTGATTGGTTCTTCCTTTGTAGAGGGTGTTCATCTGGGACTTGGACGAGACAATCATCGTTTTCCACTCCTTGCTCACTGGGTCCTACGCCAACAGATACGGGAGGGTGAGTACCACGAGGCATCAGTTTTTAATTTCTTTAGAGTAAGTATTCCTAGAATTGAATTTTTTTATCCAAATGGGAATGTGGCTAAACTTTAAATAATACATTTAAAATATAAAAAGGAAGATAACTTGATTTATTGAAATAGTCAAATATATATGTAAGACAAGGACATATAAATATGAACAGAAGGAGTTCTTTTTAGGCTCTTAAAAATGAGTTAAACTTTATGCAATTACATTCATTCTTATTTCAGACCCCAATGAATACAGGTGATTGGATGCTATTCTAGGATGAAATAGTAAAATATATAGATGATATAGAAAGGTATTTTGCGTTGTATTTTTTTGTCACATCCTTTTATTCTCTTTATTCCCAACATATTCAATGGAGCAAATATTGTGCTTGATATTGTCTTCTGTGATTACCAGTGTTAGTATTTTATTTTCAAAGCACCTGTTATGAATGTCTTTGTTAGTCCCTTTGCTATGGAGCTAAATTTGCGTGAATGGTTTGTAAAATTGGGCCTCTGAATGACAAAGGACCAATACGTCCAATTCTGAGTCGTTACAATATTTATCTTGGTGGTATAGGTACAGAATAATGTTATAGATCACCTTCCATGAGTACAACTTCAATTTCAATGCTCTGCATTTGGGTTTCTCAAAACCTTGGAAACCCTTTCTGATTGCCTGGTGGTTCCATAAACCTTTCCCATGCAAAAATCATGTTATTTAAAGTGCGTTTAAGTAATTTCTGAAATATCCTGTGAATATGATATTTTTCATCTTTTTAATCTTTAAAGAAAGATTTAAAGATTAAATCTTTTTGAAGCCTTAGGAAGTGAATTCTTGTGTCTTGGTGACTCCAGATTTGTATCACAGTTAAATGTTAAAATTGATACATGTAAAATGGTCATGCTGTCTTTACAGATTTTATGCAGGTATTCATTCTTTCAATAAATAGTTATTTCAATAAATACATATTGAGTGCCTGATATGTAGGTGTCTGAAGGTGAAAGTAGAGAAATGATCAATGAGCTTCACAATGCAACCTTCCTTCTTTTAACCCTAAAGCTACACCTAATCCAAAAAAGGGTTGGAAAAATGCACATTTATAAAAGCAAGAATATTCCACCATTTGAATGTCTGTCAGAAATAAGATATATGTAAAACACAATATGTCCCATCTTATTAAACAAATTTTCTATGAGAAGACAATTAACAAAAACACAGATTATAAAAAAATAAGGTCATAGAATCAGTCATTCAAAATAAGTCTCTATTTGTGACTAGCACATAATAAGGATTCAATAAATATTAGTTGTGATTTTTTATATTATTTCTTCTATCAATACTATTACTATCCCCATTTCTACAAAAACTACTACTTTAAAAGCCTGAAATATCAAAGTGCAATGAATATGAAGAGTCTTGAAGATCATCTTAACAGAACAATTTTAATCTCCCTACAACTAACTCCTAAGGAAGAGAGCTGGCTCCTGGAACTCATGGAAAAGTGTTGAAAAGGGCATGCACTTAGGAAACCAACATTTGAAAACCACCCAGAAAGTCTCAAGTCTTTAAAAGCTTTGTCACTAGAGGCCAAATTGATGTAAAGAGAGTTGTCTTGATCAGTGTGCTGTTAGCCATTGAAAGGGGTCAGTTTAGAGAGAGGTGGTGAACATCCCATGACCGCACGACCTCGTGTAAATCTCTGGCCATAAATTATTGGTTTACACATGGAATTCACACCTAACCTAGAAGCCACTGGCAGCTTAGAATTTTTCATTCGGATTCTTGACAAGATCTAAACCAAACATTACAAATATCATGAATTTTATTTTTACAAGTGTCAACCATTAGTATTTTGAGACTTCAACCGATAGTATTTTGTTTGTATGTTTAGTTTTCTCATACTAGGGCATGTGATAAAAAGTTTTACCTTCTGTAATTTCCCAAAGCCAAATGTATATATTCTTTCAACTATGGATGATTTGAGATGTTTAAATGTAAGCTTACCCTTTGTTTATAAGTTGATGGGGGTTGGGAAGAGAGCAACTTCAGAAAGCCTGGTTGGGGAAAATCTTCCTGAGCATGACCCTTTGAGCCTGAGGTCAAAGTGACCTGAAGGGTCCAGTTGAGAATGTGCCTATCAGGAGAAAGAGTGTTCTAAGCAGAGGAAACAGCAAGCACAGAGGCAGGAAAGGGTTTGATGTTTGAGAGACAAAGAGGCCGGTGTTGCCTAGCTTAGTGTTGGAGATGCAGAGTCAAGAGAGGTGTGGGCTGGGATGAGGGCAGGTACAAAGTGCCTCCCAACCATGGTCAGCAGGGTTAATCTCATTGCACGCGCTGTAGGAAATCCTTGGAAGACTTCGAACGGGGACATGACAAGGTCTGATTTAGATTTTTAGACTACTTTGGTTGTGTGGAGAATTAATGGTACGGAGAGAGGGGTGGGGGAACAGAGAGGAGGTTTCAGGGGGTGATCTGATGCATTAGCAGCACAGATGGAGAAGCTGATTGGATGATGGATTCTATTGTGTTACTGAATCTAAGCTGGTACTCCTGACTGCACGACAGGCCAATAATCGAGAGACAAGTTGTTGGGGCAAGGAATAACGACTTTATTCAGAAAGCCAGCAAACCGAGAAGATGGTGGACTCGTGTCCCAAAGAAACATCTTGCCTGGGTTAGAATTCAGTCTTCTTTTATACTGAAAGGAGAGGGAGTAAAGTCAAACATTTGCTGGTTCCCATCAGCCTCTGGAAGGGGTGTGTTAATTTCTTCCTCCCTGCAGTCATTCACAGGTGGGCCTGCACAGGATGTTCCCTGTGAGCTAAACCAAGGTATTTTAGCTTAATACTCATTACCTGGGAGGCAGGGTTCCCAGAGATGGGCCATTATGTATAATTTAAGCTTATAGGTGACATCCCTTTAGTGATTAGCTTGTAGTGGAATACAAAAGGTTCTTCCCTATTACAATTGCAGATAGAGAATTAGGATTTAATTGGACTGTGCTGGTGGGCAATAAGTAATAGGCTCAGGGTTTTGTCCTGAGCAACTGGGAGAATAGTCATAAATTTGTTGAGATGGGGAAGGACTAATTTGGAGGGAAAATGGAGAGTTCAGTGTTATACTGGTTTGAAATGCCCATTAGACATCCACTTGGACTAGGCAAGGAGATACTTGGAAGGTGAGCCTGGGGCATGGAGGAGTGGTCGGGGCAGGAGATGTCAGATTTAGTCAACAGTGCACAGCTCAGGATCAGAAGGTCCTCAGACACTATTAGCTTGCTTTCTTCCTAAACACCTTCTTTGGGCTGGGCGCTCTTGGTCAGCCTGTGTTCTCATTGCTGGGACACGCCCCTTCCTGACTTTTGAAGATGCCATTGCTGAGGATGTTGAACTGTAGCCTGAGGCACGCAAGAAAGCTTGCTCCATGTTCTCTTTATTAGAGAACTTTAGAGTCTGGCAGAACTGCTCTCAGATCTGATAATCATGTCTTATAAAACTGTGGCTCAACAAGGATTCTTCCAAACAACAATAATAACCAAGCTGATCAGAACTTGCATCCCCCTAGAAAAATGGTACAGATGAACTGGTTTGCAGGGCAGAAATTGAGACACAGATGTACAGAACAAACGTATGGACACCAAGGGGGGAAAGTGGTGGGGAGGCGGGTGGTGGTGTGATGAATTGGGAGATTGGGATTGACATATATACACTAATATGTATAAAATGGGTAACTAATAAGAACCTGCTGTATAAAAAAATAAATTAAATTAAAAAAAAAATAAGAACTTGCATCCCTCTTGTTTGCTCGGGGCACAGGAGAGAAATCTTAAAGCAGTTCAGGGGCGGGCCGCCTTTCTTGGAGCACAGGTTCAGGGATGTTACTGGGCTTTGTCAAGGGAGCATGTGGCTGTGCCTTACTCTTCAGGCATATAAAGCACTGAATACCCGACAATGTGATCGCTGTCCAGTCTCTATGGGAACCAGATACTTGAGAAGTAGCTTAGGCTCCTGGATCAGTAGGCTATTCAGTAAGGGGATACAGGATCTGGTTGATATAATGCAAAATTAGGGCATGTTACAGCAATATGTACCCCAAAAGAGTTTGAGAATGTCCCACCTTCCATGTAATCCTAGCTGTGGGAAGCAGTCCTGCTGGGTGTTATAAGGAAGTGTTGTTTTATAACAAAGGTGATGGGAACAAAAAGAGGGCGCTAGCTACAGTTCAGATTTTAGGGAAGAGAAAAGAAAGAGCATATTAGGAAAATGAAGTCCATGGGTGTTACTGTAAATTAGGTTGTCATCAATAGTATCCTAGCTTTTTTTGTTTAATGCTTCTTTTTAAGTTGCTTTCAAACTAAATTCAAATTCCCCGATTTTACTGAAGAAAACTACTCTTGATATTTTTTGTTGAATTTTCTCTTTAAAATAGACAATGTAATAATCTAGTTGTTAATATCAAAGCACAGACCCCAGATTTGTATTTAAAATAAGTATTGTGCTGATGTCCCAAGCGTTATTCCCTTTTTGTGGGAGGACTTCCCAAGATACCCAGTATCTTGATTGTTTTAATACTTTCTTTTTATTTTTGCTTTAACACCTTTGGGGCTCGAATAGATCTTCAAAGTCTTGAGCGTCACTCCTCATTTTATACAAAAACCTAAATGTGTGAACACTTAGGACAGCATAAAGTTTAGCATTTTTAATTGTAGGCCCTACTTATTAAGAATCTCCTGTGTGCCCAGGACTCATTTAACTCAACTTTAGTGCTCTGAAACTGCTATTGCCAAACCCATTTACAGATGAGGAAACTGAAGAGGTAGAGACCAAATGTGAAATACACTTAGCATCATGTCTGGCATAAAATATGTATTAGTTGTATTTTAATGTAGTTGAACCTTGGCTGTCAAACAAAACAAAACAAAAAACTCCTTGAACCTGGCATAGCTAGTGAGTAAATTATGGTAGTGTCTTTAAATTTTTGAAGTAC